AAAAAACTTTGAGAGAATAATTTATTCAATGTGGTTGAGATAATTAATCAGTGAGAAATAACTCAAAAACTTAACAAAGATGAAACAGAACAATAAAGAAAAAATTTATATTTATTTTTACTGTAGACATGAAAGTATTAATATTAGCTTTACTATTGTTTTGTTCAATCTCTATTGTGTTAATGCATCTCACACAACAGGTTTCTACTGAGCAAGCAATTTTGTTATTAGAAATTTATTTACACCGTTCTATTTATACTATCATTATGTTACAGGAAGCGAGAAGATCTAGGAAAATTATTCTCTTAACACATCATTGTGCTAAGTGTAAATGAAAACCGTGGTTTGAAACACGCTTGCTAGAACACATCGATCCAAAAAAATATCACTTTACTAGGTAAAAGTATTTGGTGTTCGGCAAAATGGACACGACTTTTTTTATAACAAACACGTCGATGAAAAAGATGTTACCTCAAAGGTGTTTTTTTTATCCTTCCGGAATACTTAGTTGATCATATGATTGAGTCATCGTTTTGAAGATTACTTACTCCTTCAGTAGCGAACAATAAACACATTGCCCAACAAAACAGGAATAAAGTTATGAAAAAATGGAAACTTAATTTGCGTATAACAAAAGGTAAGATTGATTACATGAAACATATTAAAATTGAAAAATTCTCTATAAAATGCAATATAATGCATGTAATTATTATATTTCATCATATAATAATGTAAGCCTAAACAGTCGAGTACTATATAATAAGGCTGAAGGAAATATGGCATAGAATATAATTCTTTATTGCTATAAATATAATATTACATTACTCGAGAAAATTTATTTAGAGTTAATTATTTATGTCAAGTCGTAATTCCTACTACAAAAAGTAGTTTGATAGTAAAAAAGTAATAACAGAGAAAAAATAAACAGACCAGAAAAACAAAAAAAAATACACCGACGGCCAAAAAATAACGAAGAGAATTCAAGCCATTTGCCAAAACTGGTTGGGAATTATAGAGCTCGACAGCCAGTTAATTTTAAAGAAAGATTAAATTTTCTCCGTTCTACCAAAATTAAATAATTTACTTCTTAATTGATTTTCTTTGAAAGAATGATGAAAGTAGACGATTCAAAAGATAAAAAAAAATATTTATAATTCTATCCCTAAACACAAAATATGAAAAAAATAACACAATGAATTCAAATTAGGCGATACAGTCTGAGGTTACACAATCTTAAAAAAAACATGAGGGTTGAGTCAAAAACAGCAATGTATTCAGGTAGTCAATGTTTCAAAACACAACTTCGTTTTCTTTTCTACGTATCCTAGTTAAAATTCATGATACATCTCTAAGGTAGATGTCTTTGTTGCAGTGGAAAACAACTAATTAGCACCAATTGCAATTCAACCAACCTCTGCAACTTTGACTATGACCTAACCGTTATTAATAATTAATCATTAAAAAAAAAAAAACAGTACAACCCATACAGAATTTTAATATTGTTTTACTCTATTATTCGACATCGCTTCCGAAGCTGTTAGGAATGAATTGGATTAAAGTAATTCTCGATGACTGTATATTAAACAGGAATAATAGATTTTAAAAAGTACGATGAGCTTAGGGACTCCTCTAAACCATCGAATTCCTCTGGTATCCAATCCTTACAATCCAAAATCCTTCGCAAAATCTTTAATGCTCCTTACTTTGTCACAAATAAAATCATCCATAACGACCTTAACGTACCATATGTTTCCAATTTAGCCTAATCCAGATACATATCCTTCCATAAAAAACCTCAAAAACATCCGAACCCTTTCGTTTCAAACCTTGCTTCCTCTTCGATACCTATAATTACCTATAACCCCAAGGTGTCTGAAAAGAAAATGGCCTCGTGATCTACTTATGTAAATATATTATTAGAGTGCTACCAATAGGTATTTTATCAACAAGTGTTTACATGTGATTGTATTATTACTGCGTACACATTTACTAGATGTAATTTGTTTTTAATGCAGTTGTAAATATCATGAATAAATAAAGTACGAATGTGAAGAAATACTGACATTAAAAAAAATAATAATAAAAAAAGTTAAACACGTATGAGTGGTCATATCAAAGATGGCAATCTGTCATTTTTAAAACAGTGGAGAAAAATAGAAATTTTGTAACTTAGCTTCAATCAAAATCAAAACTTATGTGTTTTTCCATTATTCAGCTTGAATATTATTAAATAAAATCATTAGAAACAGTCAACCTATAAAAGAAAAATTGACTTTTTCTCAACTTTCGGAAAATGACACATCTCCATCTTTGATATGAAGCGACTCATATATTTAATTACATATATATATATATATATATATATATATATATATATATATATATATTTAATTTTAAATATTTAGCTTTTAATTAAAATATATATTTATCTGTATTATTAAAAACATGAAATTTTTATATTAAAATTTTCTATTGATACAATAAAAATTAAATACGAAATAATAAAAGCAGGTTTGTAGCAGGTAGTGGTCTCATTTTAAAACACTTAAATAATTACTAATTATTAATTTGTTATAAAATTATGGAAATAAAATAGAGATTCAGAGATAGGATCACAACCGGAAGCTGTATCAGCCCTAAGGAGGACGTATGGAAGAGGCGTAACGCCTGAAAGTATTTTTTAATGAAAAACTTCACTGCAAAAAAAATTTACTTTAATCAAATGATTTTTTTTTTTATGAGTGGAATATTATCACTGTGGGTTTGTTTAATTAATTTTATTAATACATTTTAAATAAAGAATAACACGGTGAGATGACAAACTTGAAACGGAAGTTTGTTATTAATTTATTTTAATTTTTTTGTTAATGAGTCTTAAAAATAAAAGTGCCTCGAATCTCTTTTACTAATAGGTCCCCATACCATCGATTATTATTTTAATTTTTTTTTTAGATGTTCTTTATTTTATTTTATTTTTTTATTGATGATATTTACAACTGTATTACAAGTAAAAATGCATTCAGTAAATGTGAACAAAGGAATAAAATAGCATGAAATCACATGTTGAGAAAATTCCCATCTCAAGGCCATCTTCTTTTCAGACGCCTCTGAGGGTTGTCAGGGATCGAAGAGGAAGCAAGGTTAGAAACGAGAGGGTTTGGATAGTTCTGAAGTTTGTTATGGAAGGATAGGTATCTGGATTGGGCCAGGTCAGAAACATAAGGAACATTAAGGTCGATATGGATGATTTTGTTTGTGACAAAGTAAGGAGCAGTGAGGATTTTACGAAGGATTTTGGATTGTAAGGATTGGATACGAGAGAAATTCGATGGCTTAGTGGAGCCCCAGAGCTCAACTCCGTAAGTCCAAATAGGTCTTATTGTAGTCATGTATATGAGTCTTTTGTAATTGACTGGGAGGTTAGAGCGTTTGTCTAGTAAGTGCTGGAGTAGTCGGAAACGTCGAGCTGTTTCTTGTCGTTTCAGTCTGGTATGAGGATTCCAAGTTAGACGTTTGTCTAAATGGAGTCCAAGGTATCGAATTTGTTCAACAGGGATAAGTAGGGTATTATTAAAAGATACTGTAGGACAAGAGGACATAGGTTTACGACAAGGGTAAAGGTGATTTGATCGGATTCATTGGAATTTATTTTTATTCTCCAGTTTTGACACCATTCTTCAAGGTTTGTGATGTGTGATTGAAGGGTTTAGGATGCAATTGTTGGGTCGTTATTAACTGATAGGACACATAGGACATCGGCATACGTGGTAATGACTGCGTTAGGATGGGTTGGGATATCAGCTGTATAAACTGTGTTCTTCAATTTAATTTGATTTATTTCAAAAAATATAAAATTATCTCAAAGACTGCAAATATTTTAAAAAATGGGAAAAAATAACATCCTAAAAATTTTATTCGAAATCTTCCAAGAACCAAACAACCCCTTTTTGCTCCTCCCTATTCACAACCCTATTCTGGCCCTTCTTTGAATGGTAAGGAACTAACTTTAATCGGTGAGCCATTTTCAGAAAGGTTAATTCATTTAAAGGTTTATTGTCTTATTCAAGTGTCGTTTAAGTAGGATAGTAAATATCTGTTTTCACAATTGTTTACATTTTAAATTTTATTGTTTCAGACGACCACTGAAGAAACCACAAAATATTCAAAAGGCCAGGAGAGGAATTTGATTAGAGAATTTATGGCCTTTAATCAATGTGTGCACAGCGTTAAGTTTTATTTCTTTGCTCGATCACGAACGATACCTTCCATTAATTAAGAGTTTTATACCTCTGGTAATGAAGTGAATATGCACTCCTAAATTTTATGATATTTACCATTCAATTAATGAATCTACAAGTTACACATACCGTAAATAGGTAAATTGTTCGTAAAACGAATTACAGACGATTTTTAAATACAGCGTGTACGCCCTTACGGAAAACATATTAATTTGTCAATGAATTAAATATAACATTCGGTTGCAGCTGAGCATGGATGAAGGAACATCGAAAGACTTTCTTACATGTATTTTTCAAAATTCATTAAAGAATGAATAAAAAAAAAAAAAAACTGTACTGGATGTTACAGTTCTTAATAGCCAAACTCTGGAAAGTGATTCTAGACATAATTTCCAACAAAAAAGTCCATGTGATGCATGGACCGATTCCAAACGAAAAAAGAGTTAAGACCAATTTGGTGCTGTTTTTCTTTTTTAAGGTGGTCACAGTTTTTATTCAATAAGATGGAGTTTCTAAAAAATTCAAGGTAACTAAATCCTCTTGCTCATTCCCTATAATCCCCTTCTAAAATTAAAACGGCGGTAACCCCGAAACTTCTTGTAAATATGCTTTTGGAATACTGACAATGGCCAACCTCTCTACGCTGGCCAGGTCCTGATCTTCAGCGGCTCTAGTGCCCACTTTTAGTCACCATTGGTTTCCAATCCTAATGACGCGACTGGAAGAGAAACGCTGGGAACTCCTGGAGTCCTGCTTTTATTTTCATATATGTAGGAGAAACCTTTGCTCGGAGTTTCCTGAGCGAATGTAAGTATTGTACATAGGTTAAAATATGTTTAAGAAGATTACTTTTACTTTTATTTTTTTAAATTATTTGTATTTATTTTTTTCTAGTATTCATATAGAATTCAATAAAATATACATATATATATATATATATATATATATATATATATATATATATATATATATATATATATATATATATCAACTTTTAACATAATTATTTAAATTGGGAATTAAGTGACCTTTACGGTAAAATTTTGTATATATATATATATATATATATATATATATATATATAATTATTTGACTAATAGGAAAAATGGTGAGGAAACTGTTCCTGAACTATGCCAAAGAAAATAACTTAAAATGTAATTTCGAACTGTAAATGTAACAATCATCGGTCATATCAATATTCCAGTCGTGCTTTTGAGTCCTCCATAACTGTTTCTCATTCAGTAAATGCCCCAGATGTCCCGTTAACGCATTTTTAAGTATCCCTTGAAACACCTCATCGAGAAAAATGATACTACCGAACCGTTTTCACTGAAACTATATCTGTGCGTATTTATGAGTAATAATAAAAAAAAAAAAAAAATTAAAGAAAACAATCTGAAACTCTAAAACCCATAAATGATTGTTGGCGTATTGTTTTGTTTATTATGGATATGAGCTACATTTAAAAAAAAAATTAACAATTTTTTAAAAATATTTTTTAATACTAATTGACTATTTTCAAATAAGGCAAATTCAAATAAAGGATCAACTGTGCCATACATTTTTTTTCTCAATCTTTCACCTTGTATTATTTCTCAACTTTATATTTAGAACAGAAAAATCATACCTCAACACAACTGGAATAAGTTATTATACATATAATATTAAAAATGGTTTAATTGCTAACATATATAGGAGTGGACGGGCAGCCTTTTGATACATCCGTTGGGACGAACCGTAATTAATTCGAGGCAGATTCAACCTGAACTATTTCCAGCAAGCTCCATTCATTAAGAGAAATCTCATTAAGAATTATAAAAAGAAACGGGACATTATAAACAAGATATTTAACAAACAAACGTCAGTGTTGAAGAGGAGTAAGTAGTGGCGATTTACCGACAGAAATAAACCTGTCCCATTCCGCTTTTAGTCGCTGGCAGTTGGCGTTGGTTTGCTGCATATCGCCTTGCCCGTTGAGCAGCTGACGTTTTGCATTCATCAGCTGGTTTTCATCTATAGACAGTATAGATCCTTGAACCGGTTCGAATTCATACACTGACTCAAACAATTAATCATATGTTTATGTTTCATTAAATAAATTATAATATATAAATGCCAAATCATATGTAGAGTTATATTCTCTAATTTGAAAATAACTGTTTGTGGATCTAGAATAAAAAATGTATATCAGTAAGACCTTTCATTCAAGATTTCATCCAATTTTAAGATTTTTTATTAGTAATTTTAGTGGGAAAATGCATACCTTTATTCCCAGTTCTATATTTCAACACCGCAACCGCCTAATTACTCAATCAACTTACTCACTGTCGTACAGATATTATCAATTTTCCAACTAGAAATATCACTAAAATGACTTTACTCAAAAAGTTTGAAATTGGAGTTAGTCGTTCTGTCAACTGAAAGCTTCATTTGTTCAATTTATTATTATTTCTATATTCATCTTTAAGAAATTGTGAGTGTATTTGATCTTCGACGATTAAATTCTTTTAAGCACAATTTTTAAACCTATTTAGTTCTTCTATTCTATCTATAGAAAGATGATTAGATGAAGTCCATCCTTTCTTCTTATTCGGTTAATACGATTCCCGATTCATTTTACGCAATAGTAGTTAAAAGCTAACATGAAGTAATTCTACCCAGGGAATATTTAGTAAAAAAAAAAAAAATCAAACATAAACACGAAGAATTTATGTTTCTCCAATTCTCCAAAAAAATTGTTTAGAAACAAAAAATTAAATTAAATAAAAAAAAGGATTGGATATAAAAAGTAAAATAAAATAAATATATCAATAATAAGTCATATTGATCCGAGGGTAAATATTTAAAAAATAGATTGGAGAATCTTATATTCTAAAATTAATTTTTTAGGTGTTTTTTTTTTTTATTTGCCACAAAAAAATTTAAATGTCTATCATTTAGATTACATAAATATTATTCTCCCATAGATTCACCAAAATTAATTTAATTTCATAAGAAAGAAAAAATTATACAAAAACAGGACTGACCAGTTACAACTAAATTTTGTATTTCTCTAATGAATTCTTCTTTGTTATTCAATATATCTAAAAAAAAAATATTACAACTGAAATCCTTTTGATAAAACTTTTAAAAGGCAGTCAAAGATATTCATATAATTTTTTAATAGAAATACGGCACTTTTTATGTATGTAATTTTCTATTTTTATGTATACTTCTATTTTTTCATCCCATCTTCTTGTTTGCTAATCAGCCTCAAAAACCCTTCTTTTTTTTTTGTAATTTAGAGATAAAATCATCAATTTCAAATATAGGTATTGGAAAAACAAACCCTCAACAATTGCCATTGATTTCAAGGGTATCTACGTAGTTTGACATTAGTTAACTTTAGTGATTAATTCCATGACCACACAACAGCCTTGGGGTTCTATTTTTAAAATCCAGGATTAACAAATATAATTCTCCACGAATCATCCATTTATACCTTACTAACAATTCTTGAAATGCAACTATCAAATCGTAAGTTGAATCCATAGAAAAATCGTTGAACAGGTATATGATTGATGAATCTGATACAAACTATTATCAAAAATAAATAGTTACAATTTTTTATGTGAAATATAAAATTAGATGCTACAATAATAATAATAATATAGTGGTGAGGAAACTATACTTACTTAACTAAGCAGAAATTCATGTCTTCATAAATCGAATAATTATCTAATAATAAATCAAAGTCTGAACGTGTAATGTATATACTATGACAACTAACAGATCATGTACAATGGGAATTAGAAAAAATACAAAGACCTTGAACAAAAAAAAACAAAACAAAAGCTGAGTTATACTGAGAATATCCTTCAACTTCTAAACAAAAAAATAAATGGAAGCAATCATGCCATCTTCTCCAAGATGGTATCATGTGCCATCTAAATTGCTTAGCCTCCTAGACAAGGACGGAAGTAGAAACAGGTACATCGTCCTTTATCTTAAGTGTTCCTATTGGTACATCCTCTAATGGCGCATCAATTACTTTATGGAAGTCGTTCATCCTTTCTGTAAGATATTAGTCACATCCTGCTTATAATTAATTCACAATTTCCGAAAATATAAAAAAAGATTTATCTAAAACAGTAGAAAAGATACATCAGCCAATGATATATCAGCTAGTAAATTACTGATAAAATCAAGAATGTCCATGTTTTTTGTTGTCTTATGCCCGTCATGAAGGCCATTCCGCTCATTGGCCTCCAACAACCCTGAGTAATATACATTTATGTTTGTCAGATGGTTTGGGATTGTTTCTAATGACTTGCCAAACTGGGAATCCGATTTTCTCTTCGTTTTCGACTTCATAAGTTCGGAAACGATAGCATATTAACACACGTAACTTGAATGCATGTGTATATTTATAATTAGGATTGCTCATCTTTTCTAAAAAAAAGAGCGAGTAGAATTAATAGAAGTAGAATTAGAAATATCGTAAATCTTATACAATGTTCCATGTTTTTCCCCTTGTTCCTTAATCCGAAAATTCAAAAACCCGTCAAAATATGTCCTCTCAAAAATTTCGATGGCTCAACTTGCGCCATGAAACCTCCTTCTGGGCACTCCTGTATAGGAGTCTTCTAGCTCTTCCAATAAATTCATTTTTAATATGTGCAAAGAGAAAATTCTTGTCCATCTTCGAGTTTCTTGAGTTTAAGAATACCTTCCAGGCAGTAGCGGATTCAGAAAATAATTTTGGGGAGACTTGGTAATTTTTTTATTTATTACTTTTTTAAACTAAAAACAGTAGTTACTTTGGAAGAAAAAGAAAAAAAAAACAATATAAAATAATTTTAAGTGGTCTTTAAAGAGCTAAAAAAAAAATGTCATTACAGGGATTATTGGCATTTAAGACCTGTTAACAGTAAGAATAGTGCTTTTATGTATACATCTTTTTATTATTGCCAAGTTTTGTAATTTAAAAACATTACATGTTTTGATTGTTCAAGTACTTAGCTCAGAGCAGTCACAGAACAAACATGAACCAATGAAAATAAAACTTATTTCCTTTTTTTTTGAGAGGGATGCTCTCTCGAAATCATCTCCATCCCTTTCTCGTTGATCCACCACTGCTTTCAGATAATATTGTAGAAATACTTGGATGATTTTTGATTTTTCATAGTCGACTGCACCGCCTTTGAAGAACTAAGGGCTCAGTTACTGAGGGAAACCGGTCTCTACATTCTCACACAGAACTATTTTCCTCAGTTAGTCACTGCGGAAAACTACCCTTACTACAAAGATTTTGTGTACGGATGGAGAGCCGCGGTGGGGCCAGCCCATTTCAATCTAAGAAGAGGAGGAGGAGCTACTAGACCGTTGGTATGAAAAGTATAAGAAATTCACACAAGAAAAACAATGATATCAAGAAAGAGCAGAAGACCAAGATTTACTTGCAGCAGTGAGATGTTAAGCTGACCTGCCCTAACATCTTACTATTGCAGACACCCGTATCGCCTACTTGGCACGGCAGGGTTTTAAATAAATAAATAATACTTGGATGATTTTTCCTCGTTTCCATCATACAAATGACATTTGTAACTGTATATTTAATAAGTATGCTGTATTTGTAGCAACCCAATACAATTGGGCAGCACCCTTTTATGAAAATAAAGTGATTCTCTATCTCTCTCTCTCTCTACTATGTACAAACAAATCCTTTTAATAATCTAAAATTGGTAACAACTTCTGGCAAATTTGTGTATTGGTAACAAATTGGGCGAAGAGGAGCAGGCTGTGTGCACAGGTGAAAATATGTAATT